TTAATACACTTCAGGTATATTTCTAGTACAGAATTTGTGTATTTTCTGCCACCCTAATTTGTGTATTCTCTGAAGTTAGGTCCAGATATGTGAGATGAGATGTTCTCAAAGGAAGGTATTCCTGAGGCCCCTGAGATCTGAAATCTGAGGAAAATGCTTCCGGGTCACTTAAAACAAGGATCAGTGGAATGTTCTGTGTATCAGTTATACTCCTTCTCAGAGTCCTAAATAATTTTAGAAATTTCTACCCAACTCAGTCCCTTTTATTGACCATTCATTGTGCAACAGTTCTTGATTGCTCAATATATATTATTCAAATTTCTAATGAGAGACCTATTTGCAACTTAAGGCCAAAAGGTTTCTTTCTTTCTTTCTTTTAAAGATTTATTTATTTATTTATTTGACAGACAGAGATCACAAGTAGGCAGAGAGGCAGGCAGAGAGAGAGAGGGAAGCAGGCTCCCTCTTTAGTAAACTTAATAGAGAAGCTAGTTTACTGGAGTCTTTTATATTTTCAATTACCAGCATTAGCTCAGGATATTCAGAATAAGCTAATAGTTACAGACTCAGATCAGGGAAGCTTTCAGTAAAACAGTATAAGAAACTGAATAGTAGGGGCACCTTGGTGGCTCAGTTCATTAAGCTCTACCTTTTGCTCAGGTCATAATCTCGAGGTTCTGGGATCGAGCCCCATGTTGGGCTCTATACTCAGTGGGGAGTCTGCTTCTCTCATTCTCTCTGCCCTTCCCCCATTCATGTTCTCTTTCTCTCTCTATCAAATAAAGTCTTTAAAAAAGTAATCTGAACAGTATCTTTTTATGAACATCAATTATTTCAATTTTTATTTTATAAACCGCTTAGTAGGAAACATCATGTACTAACAACTGTCTTTTCTCTTCCCAGAGGCTAGAGGACCAGCAATATATACATATATATTTGTGTCAAGATGCAAGGCTGTTTTTACATGTGACCTGGTGTTCTTCTAGGCTGCTCCCCTAAAACCATTAGTCATGCTTCACTACTTTCTTCATTTAAGAACACTCATTTTACCAGAACTTTCTGAGTTACGCTGTACAAAAAGACATTACTTGAAGCAGCAACAGCCCAAATGATAATTAGTTCACTCCTAATCACTGATTACATATTTACACTCTGCTGAAAAACCTGAAAATTCCTTCCAACTCCACAAAACCCAAATCATTGAAATATCACTGAACACAGGACAAGAGCACCCCAACACAAGAAGTTTTCTCCCCTCTCTTTCGAGAGTGCAGTTTTATCTCTCATTCTGAAATTGCTTACGATTTCTAGAAAGCTAAGAAATGTACAACTTTTGGTGCCCGGGCCACGTCCTTGGGAGGGAAGGAAACTACCTTATTTACTAGAAAGGCAAAGCCTGAGATCAGGCGTCAGAGGCAGGAGAGCTCAAACCCAGAAAGAGCAGGAAAGGTGGCAGAGTTTTAGAGCCATTCCAAATCCCTCCTGTCTTGGGAGGATTCACTTTACCTGAGATCTGGGGTGTGCTATGGGGATGGGGGGAGTCTGTTATGACACATGTTCCTACACATTCATGGGAAAAGGATGGCCTGGGCCGGGGGTTGGGGGAGGGGTGTCTGTCCTGTGAGCCGTCACAGCCGAGTTAACTCATGACCCAGCTTTTGTCGGGCTGGGATAAGAGATCTGCACCCTGGAAGCTTATCTGTTTCTGTGGTTTGCATCTGTTTTTGTTTTCTCTCCTCTTCGATTCCTAACAAGGTGTTTTTTTGGGTTTCTGTTCATTTGTTTTTTGGGAAAATCTCCAAGGGGAGGGGAGCAGGAAGAATCCAAATGGTAGAGAGCCCAACGCTTCAATGGGCTCCAAAGGGAGATCTACTGTTCTGACACAGGCAGGCACCTGCAGGTGCGGAGAAATCAGGCTGCGGGGAGCTCAGGAGGTGGGAGCTTTCCCTGAGTAGATACTGTAGTCTAGTGACCTTCGGAGAAATGAAGCTGCTTCCCTCCAGGACATGGAGGGTTGGGCGATGCCAATCAACAGGGACCGAAGCCCGCGCCGGTGGTTCTTCATCCCAGCCCTGAGTCTCACTGGTCCTCACTGACCTGCACAGGGGATGCGTGTCTGCAGTGTGGCAGTGTCCTGGGGCATAACTGCCTCGCTCTGGCTTTTTCTCCTCTCTTCTTACAAGGGACTATCTTGTAGATGAGGCTTTTCAGCTTGTGAGAGGAGAGGGAGACTCTCCAAATACCAAGGTCCAAGTATTGCTAGAAAGTACTAGGATAAGAGGAGATCTTGGGGAAAGGGTGTGGGGGCTGCGGAGTGGGTGAGGTTGGCGGAGCTCCTGGCTCCAATTTCTTAGTTCCAGGTACATCTTCCTTATGTGGGAGGAAATTATTGATCCCCGTAGATCAATCAGGTCTGACCCTTTCATTTAATCCTCAGACGGCTTTCTCCTAGCCTCCACCTTCACTCGGAGGCAAAGACTGGCCTGTAGAACAAGCCAATGGAGTTAAGAGCAAGGCCAATCCTTTCTTATTTCATCAGATTACTGGCCTTCTACTTTGGCCCCATGATCAAACTGAACTGCTTAAAATCTTAATCTACAGTCGATTTTGCCAGGTAGAGTATATCCTGCAACCTTCCTTCCACCCATCACAGTTGTGGCAAAAAAGAGTCTTTAAAAATGCTCAAAATGCTGACAAAGAGAAAACAGACAAAGACTTTCAGAGTGTTTCCAGCCCCAAAGTGAACTTCTCTGAGTGGGCTGTTTGGGGCACAAATGTTAAGGATTTTCCATTTGAGCTTAAATAGTGCTCAAAAGAATTGTTGAAATATTAGTGTTACAGCAATATCCCGAGGAACTGAGTATCACATAGGTCTACAGTCACAGACCGGACCCTTGGTTGCTGAGTTTGAGATGACAACCATTTTGGGGGGGAACGGGGAGATGCAGACTTTTCTTTCCCTTCGGTATTTTGTGCCTCAGGAAATACTCCCGAGAAACACCCCAGAATTTCAGGATGAAGATAATATATTTTCAAAAATCCAACAGTGACCATCTTAAAAACAGACAGTTAATGGAGACTTCCGGGGGCAGAACTGCCCAGTGAAATGTAACAGGGTCAGTGCAAGTTCTTTGCTACACCCGAACTTCCACCACGTTAAAAGACAGAATATTCTACGTGCTCTCTCTCTCTCCCTCTGACAAATAAAATCTTTAAAAGATAGAATATGCTGAAATGACTAATATTTAACCTCATCCAAAAGGAAGGAAAACAAACATCTGTGGGAAGCTGGGCTTCCCTTAGCACCAATGCTTAGGCAAGAGGCCAAGAAGAGATAGGACACCTGCCATGTCCGGAATGTTTCCATCCCCACAAAATTCATATGTAGACACCTATTGCCCACCATGATGGTACTAGGACGTGCGGCCTTTGGGAGGTGATTAGGTCAGGAGGGTGGAGCCTTCATGAGTGAGATTAGTACCCTTTTAAGAGACCCCAGAGAGCTCCCTTGTCTCGCCCCTTCTTGCTACCACGGGACCCACTTAGGAAATGGACCTTCACCAGACACCAAATCTGCCCGTATCTCGATTTTAGACTTCCAGACCTCCAACAAAAGCAGAAAAAAGTGTCTGTGGTTTATAAGTTACCCCATTTATGGTATTTTGTGATAGTGGTCTGAACAGACTACAGCAGCCCACAACCAAAGCTCTGTTTTTCTGCCTGTCTTACTCCAAGGCTTTCCATGGCTTATAATGTACACTTTCTATATTACTTTAAGGCCCGAGAGACTTCACCAGGCCCCCTGCCTTAAAAAGCAGCAGCTTGTAAAGGTACTGAGAACAAGCCAGAACCTTTCTTATTGAAGTACTGAGTCTTGTCATGATTCTTGCATTTGCTGTATGTTAGGGTAGGACTAAATCGAAGGATCTTTCCCTTCCTCCCTCAGGCAGAGGTGCAAGGCTATTTTTGGAAAAACACTTATGTTATTACTTCAGTTGCTTTTATGGTCCCCTTGTAGGAGGGGTCAGAGTGCAGGCCCACTGTCCCTTTTCTAAAATCTTTGGACCTGATGTGCTTGGAATTCAAAAATTTTTCAGCTATGGCATCCAGAGCATATATTACACAAAACTTCCAATGGAGGTGGTGGGGGTAGGGGGGGGGGTCTGAGCCAGCACCTTGTAATCAAACACATTCATATTTCTGTGGTAAAATGTAGGAATTTTCACAACAAAGACTGTAAAAGGCCTCACATCAGTTCAGGGCAAGCTTTGCCATGAGAGGACATTGTGTGTCAAATGTGCAAAAGAACTTCCAGTTTTCTGGACGTTTTGGATTTTGAAAGTGAGGGTAAGAGAGTGTAGATCTGTGAGATTTTGAAAGAATTAAGGTCAGTGATTTCAAAGAGTTAAGAGAGAAAAATCTGTTGGTGTTTAGAAAAAGGTGAGACCGACCGCACATCATCTAAGGGGCCTCTTCAAATGGGTCTTTCAGACATAGAATTTGACCGTGTTGAACAGGACAGAAGGTAGATGGGTTGTTCCTGTCCCTGCGCTTCTGTCATAGGACCTGGACACAGTCTGTCCCCCAGGGGGAGCGCTATTGTCCTGGAATTTGAGCTGCCTCACTGTTCCTCAGGGAAAGGGGCCCCGACTGCTCTGAGACTCACAGGAACATTCCCAGACTAGAATAAAAACCTCAACAAGGCAAGAGTGTTGGAGCCAATTGGCACGCTTGCACTATGACTCCATAATAAAATAATTAGACAGTTTGATTTTTTAAGGATATAAAAACCAAAAAAAAAAAAAAAAAAATTTTTTTTTTTTTTCTTAATATAGGGAAAACAATTCTTGCTAAAATCTTCATCTTTGGCGTTTTAAAGGTGGGACTTAGAAGGTTCTATTCTGGGTTCTCATGCTAGGGATTCTATCATAGGGGATGGGTAAGTGGTCGTTGAGATGAGGGGCTGTCATCAGCGGAGACATAGGGAGATAAAGGCTTACTTGGCTTCCAGGGCCAGTGCGATGATGCCCGCGGCCATGGGGGCCGAGGCCGAGGTCCCAGTGTGGTTGTCCGTGCAGCGCTGCCTCAGATCTGTAGTAATCTAGAAGACAGAAATGAAAAATTTAGGGTTCTGGGGCCATGGGAGTCACATGCAAGTAGAATGAAATTCCCTCATAAAAGCAGAATGGAGGGGGGCGTTCAAACAGTTGTTTTAAATTCCTTGTTCCTGTACTTCCGTGACTGTATCACTTCTAGAGAATCGCCTGTGCAAATCAACTTTGAAAAGAGAAGCATTTGGAAATCAGACTCCACTTCTGTTAAAACTGGGGTCAGGACTAGGGCAAGTCTTTGGCTTGGAACATAGGGGTTATGCCTGGGTGCCCTTCCATCTTCCCCTCAAACCCCCCCTTGCCACTTGCTTCACCCCAGACCCGGCTCTAGTTAAAACTAAAGTTCTTTCATGACCCCAACATTTTTCATGATCAGATATGTTGAAGCAACCACCAGACGCTGAGGTAGGCATTGGAAGCCTGAAAGCACACGGTCTGGCCTTGCCCTTCCAGAACGGATACCTTGGGAGAAGCAAGGGTTTTAAGCAAAGGCGTGCTCTGCCATCGATGGAACGTGGGTTTTTGGCATCCACAGAAATGATGCAGGGAAGAACCAAGACCTCCTCAAAGATTGAACGTGAATACCCAAAACAACGTTGAACCTAGGGTGCCTGAGGGGAAGTTACCGTACTGAGGGCCTGGCGGTGTATTACAGAAGGAGATTTCGCCATTTCTCCATTTTTGAAATCAGAATGTGAGAACTAGATCATTTTTTTCCTCTTGGTTTGAATCCAGTTTACTTCAGCTGCGTCTGAATAACATTCCTATCAGCAAGAGCCCTGCTTTTAAACCTCCCCTTCATGATCATTTCACTCAGGGAGAAGAAGTTGAAGTGAGATTCTCCTTCACAAGACAAATGAAACACGCTGGGGTAAGATTTTGCAAACCAGTGAAATAGCTAAGATTTAAAAAACCCTCCCTCCCCAAGAACCATCTACTTTTGTCTCCTTGGGGCTGATATTGCTCTTGCCAGGAATGCACAAGCCTCGTGAGGTGAGCTGGAGCCCATCTCAAAGTTACTGGAAGACAGCAGTTAAGCTTTGTTTGGCATCAGTACAAATAGGATAACTGAGGTGAAATTTCATCGGAAAGGTGTGGGGGGACAAAGGCAGTTGAAGGCAAAGTCCTGTGGTTCTAAGGTGTATCCTTCCAGAAGAGTGTGGAGATTGGTTGATTTGGAAAGAAATCTGATCTTCACAGGAAGAAAGTGCTGCCTAAGTCTTCAGAAATGAGCCTTCCCCTAATAGTTTCCTCAGAGCCCCCTGAGGATGTATGAATGGACTCTAATTATCTGGTATAGATCTACATTGACAAGATAGCTGACCTAGTTTCACACAGGGCCAACAGTTCTCTTTTCTTTGTTCCTTTTGACACTTTTAATGTCACCAGACCATCCATACCAGAGAGGCACCGATACCCAAGGAGTGGCAGAATGAACAAAAATATAGAACAAAAATATAGAGAGCCATAAGACATGGTGGCGGGAGAGAGGAGGCAAGCCTTACCCTCTTTTCTTAAATAAGTGAATGGTGGCCAAGAGCCCCCACAGTGTGTCTGGCAAGCGAGGGAGGTTGTTTCTTGATGAACAGACGTGGTTAACTAGCCATCTTCTGAACCTCCGTGTTGGATGTTTATAAGATGTTTGGGTAAACAGAGCCCTACCCACTCCTGCATAAGAAACTTTCTGGATCTTTATTCATTGACTTTAAAAGGTATTTTTTGAGGTTTTTTTTTTTGTTGTTGTTGAGGTAAAAAAGCATGTAACACAAATTTACCATTTCAACAACTTTTTAAGGGTCGAGTATAGTATTGTTAACTATATGCACGCTGTTGTACAAAAGATCTCTCTAGCACATTTTTATCTTGTATGAATAAAAAACTCCACCCACTAAACAACTCTCCATTCTCCCCTCCTCCCAGCCTTTGGTAACCACCATTTTACTGTTTCTATGAGTTTAACTATTCTAAGGTACCTCATATAAACATAATTGTATGTATTTGTCTTCGCGCGCGCGTGTGTCTGTGTGTGTGTGTGTGTGTGTGTGTGAGAGAGAGAGAGAGAGAGAGAGTGAGAGAGTGAGAGAGTGAGAGAGAGAGAGAGAGAGAGAGAGATCTGGCTAATTTCACTCAGAATAACGTCCTCAAGTCTCGTTTTGTTATAGTACATGGCAGGATTTCCTTCTTTTTAGGCTGTATAATATTTCATTGTATGTATTTACCACATTTTCTTTCTTGGTCAGTGGACATTTGGGTGCCTTCCGTCTCTTGGCTCTTGTGAATGATGCTGCCAAGAGCACAGGGAAGCAAAGATCTCTTCACAATCCTGTTTTCAATTCTTTTGACTAAGTGACCAGAAGTGGGACTGCTGGACCATTAAAGGGATGTCTACTTCACTTGAAATTGCTGGTCAACGCGCAGCCTTGTTTTCCAAAGTCCTGGTCCGTATGTCAAGGCATAAACACCCCAGAAACAGTCTGTTTCCGAGTCTCCAGATCCTCTGTTGTTGAGAGATGGCCCTGCCTGCATTCTTCTCATTTTACCTCACTCTCATGGTCACATTCCTTGGCCAAATTTTCTTTTTTTTCAATGACTTGTGCCTGGATTCAAGATTTTTCACGAAGTCTCCCCACTTGGCTCCTTTTGCCTGTCCTTCAGCTGTACCAGACCCTTGCCGTGCACAGAAACCCATCCAGGATAAACACTCCAAGTGTGTGCAACGTTTTTGAGTCGAATAAAGAGCCACCTCCCACCAACCTCCAACATGAATGATAAAAACTTTGGGATGTCAGGTCCACAACAGGAAGAAGGCTCATCCCTACAGAGTCCGCAGGTAGAGACGTACATGCTGTACGCATAAATAAAAAGCCGCCTTGTACTTTTCTATACAAACACCAACCACATGTTACACGCTCTCAATATGGCCACGCTTGTGGAATTCCCGACTGGCGCTGGGCTCTCCTTTATTTATTTATTTTTCAAGCACTTTATGTAAAGGAAACCTAAGAAGTGAAAAAAGAGCGAAAAGGGGGTGAGGTATGAAGGCCAGGGAGAGTGGAAGGGAAAAAGGAACGGAGAGGAAAGAAACAAAAGCAGTCTCCCTCTCCCTCCTTCTCACCCTGCTTTCAGGGGAAATTCCAGCTGGGTCATTTCAGGAGGAAGTTACTGTCACTGGTGGAAATATTTAGGCATAAATTACTGGAAAGATCTAAGGCAGGCTTTTCATCATAAGGAGAAGTCACAGTATCAGGGAATTTGGAGGTGTCTCTTTAGAATGAAAAGGCAAAGACCACCAAGGAGAATGCAGTCTTGAAGAAAAATGATGTCCCCAAAACTGGAACCACATGGGGGACCCCATTCATCACAACGCGTGCACGCAAACCTTGACAGCATAATTTAAAAGCCAAGTTGCGTGGAACAGTCGACCCGTGTCACGGAGGCTGGAGGCTCTACGTGTGAGAACAGAAAACTAAAGCCTGGAAGTTTCGATACCATTTTAAAGCAAGTCTTGAAATTTGGTTTTGATCCCCGGGGATGCATCTCGCGCGCTCCAGGTTCCCTCAGTTCACTACCAAATCAGAAACAGAATTCTCCTCCACGCGACTTCTCAGATTGCTCAAGAAAATATCCTCCCTATCCGTCAGAGCGGAAACAGGAGAGGACACCGGGCCTCGAGCCAGATCAAAGCTATCCTGGTGAGCAAATTAGACGTTTGGCCTGTCCCAGGATGAAGAGCAGACGGTTTGGGGAATGCCAGCGCGTTAGGGATGTCTTCGGTGTTTGGTGAGAAGGGGTGGGTGTCGTTCAGGTCTCGGCTCACTCCCTCTGAGCAGAACCCTGGCCTTTTCTTATCCTAAGCTCTTATTTCCTAATATTTCACATTTCATTAGCTGGGCTGATTGGATCTTTTATTCCAGCCTGTTGAGGAAATTCTCCAGGGAACCTCAGCTCAGGCGGACTTCGGCCATGAGTGGCAAGTCTTAACAGCAACCCTGGAGTTAAGAGTTTCTATCTCCCTGATATCTTGCGACTGTTTTTTTTTTTTTTTTTGAAGGGGCCATATTGTCTCCTAGCTGTTAAAAGAGCAACCGAGCAGATATTTTTAAAACATGAAATGATTCTACTGTCTGTTATGCTGAATTTGTTTCTGGTGTGGAGTTTGATTTGGATGAGGAATGTGCCAGAAAAGCTGTTTCAAACAAGCAATGGGGGAATGAAGGCAGAAAATAAATCTTCAATGTGTCAATGAATAAAACAGAAGAAGCTGATTTATTAAGCACAGCAAAATAAAACGCAATGGAGGACCAATTCATGCTCCCTGGGTTCAACCGAAGTCTGGTCTAAAACGCAGTCGTGACCGAGGAGGCCACACAGCACTCCAGCCCGGTGTTGCTAGGGGAATCTGGAGGTGAGACGTGCAAATGGGAGGTTCTGCTTACAAAGGCGAGGCCACTGTTGCTGGAGGAGTCTGCCATCGTCGATGATTTTTGCATTTCTATCATGTTCAGCTCTGTGCTAGGTAGGGAGCAGAAGCACAGTATTTATTGGCTAAGCTGAATTATTAACATTCAAGCTCCCTCAGACTCTACTTGAAGGCCCTCCAATTATTAAGAAAGACTTTAAGGTTTTGTTGTTGTTGTTTGTTTGTTTTTTTGTCAAATCTCTAAATAAAGCTCACATACACTTAGAAGCCACCTACAGAAGAGTACGTGTGTATACGTGTGCATGTAATCCAGGGCCTAAAGTAGAGCTCTTCCTCACCACCGCTGTTGCTACCCCATGCTGGATGGCTTAGAAAACCATCACCAGGGGCACCTGGGTGGCTCAGTGGGTTAAAGCCTCTGCCTTCGGCTCGGGTCATGATCCCAGGGTCCTGGGATCGAGCCCCACGTCCAGCTCTCTGCTCAGCCGGGACTGCTTCCGCCTCTCTCTCTGTCTGCCTCTCTGCCTACTTGTGATCTCTATCTATCAAATGAATAAATAAAATCTAAAA